TGTGTGTGTGTGTGTGTGTGTGTGTGTGTGTGTGTGTGTGTGTCTGTCTCTGTCTCTCGGGGGTGGTAGGCTACCCGCATGGTGCAGCGTTTGGCGTCCGCCGTGATCTCACAGGCGACGTCTGACTCCTGCCAAACTGCGACTACGAGCTGTCTCTCTCTCGTGCGCGCGCGCGCCTGCGCCGTGGGCAACGGGGCGAGAGAGCGGGTGGCTGCCCGCATTGTGCCGCCTCTGATTACCGGTGTGAAGTGCCGCCTCTGATTACCGATTTGATCTCACACGCGAGGTCTGCTCCTGCCAATGGCCGGCGCCGAGAACCCCCCTACCATAGCCCCGCACCCTTCCACCACCCGCGCTCCCTCTGTCTCTCTCCCGCGCGTGCACACAAGCGTGCGAACGAGGTAGTTCCCTCCTGGTGCCGCGTTCCGCATCCGCGGTAAATATTGGTTTTTATGGTGAGAATGTAGTATGTCATTGAGAATCTATTAAAATTTTTTCTTGCACTTTTTTTATGGTTTTGAAAACGGAGAGAGAGGGATTCGAACCCTCGGTAGTTTGTTGAACTACACCGGTTTTCAAGACGGGGGCTATTAACCGCTCTGCCATCTCTCCTATTGAAAGGGAATTGAATTCTACTCAAAATACTACTATAATAAAATACACCCAGACTCCCACGGGAGGCAGCAGTGGGGAATTTTCCGCAATGGGCGAAAGCCTGACGGAGCAATGCCGCGTGGAGGTAGAAGGCCTACGGGTAGTAAACTCCTTTTTTCAGAGACGAAATCATGACGGTATCTGAAGAATAAGCATCGGCTAGCTCTGTGCCAGCAGCCGCGGTAAGACAGAGGATGCAAGCGTTATCCGCCTTTCACCGAGGGGAAAGTTGTTTGGGCCGGTAGTACCGCACGGCCGAGTTTCGGGGCCCAAAACCGGCGTGGGCTCTTTCTACCAATTATCCCCATGATGTGTCTGATATCTCTAACGAAAGAACGAACGAGTGACCATAAGCGGTCGTATTGAGGGCCATCTTCTTGAATCAAATGTTGGAGTGCTCCAACCTCCATGGTGGAAATTTCACAATATTACCCTCGTTGAATCTTTCCTTCATCTGTTGCAGCTCAGCCTATCATTGCTGGACCTAACGATCTGGCTATTGTTGAATGCTGCAATTGTTGAATGCCGAATGGCGCAACCACGCGTCCGCCGATGCAGATCACACAGAGGGTCTCGCTCCATTACTCTCCATTACTCTCCGCTGGTCTCAAGCTAAGTTCATATATACATCCAGAGGGTCTCTTCATCTTAAGAATTCCGGTACCTCAGGAGCAGAAAATTTGGACGAGTTTTGGGCCAAAAAACTCAGTTTCAATTTCGTTCAAAAAATAAAAAATTGTACATTTTGACCAAATGGTATTCAACGTGGATTGGGGAAAAGCCTGGTTCTCAGTCCGTTTCACCTGAGTGTTTGGATTTGAATCCAATGCGGGATCCGCATTAAATTATCGTTGAATCTGTGTTGAACTGGCGTTGAACAGCCAATTTCATGCATATAAATGACAACGGCAGAGAATGTTTTCATGAACAAACTGAGCAAAACAAAAACCAAAAACTATAAGGGTGTAGATGTCGTCGGGATGTACAACTCCGTTTTTTTTTTTTTTTTTTTGCCGTCTTTAAATATATATATGTAAAAAAATTAGAAACAGAAAAAAAACCCCAAAAAAGTAGGTGAAATGTTTTTTTTATTTATTCTCTTTTGACAAGGATTTGTTAAGCGGGGATAAAGTGGGCAAAAAAAAACAAAAAAGTATAGGTTTGTACAAAGTTTCATGATCTACAATCCCATGTTTTTTTTTGTTTTAATCTTTAAATTTATTCTTGTAAATTCAAATGCATTGAAACAAAGAAAAAAACAAAAAAAAGAAGGTTAAAATTCCGTTAGTTGGGTGCCATGGGTGTCATAAGCTGTTCTTTTTCCCTTTGTGTGTGTGTGTGTGTGTGTGTGTGTGTGTGTGTGCGCGTGTGTGTGGGTGTAGGTGCCCACACATGCGCACACACAGACACACACACGGAACTGGTGGGGGGGTGGGGGTATTTAGGGGGGCGGCGGGGGGTGTTCTGCGCGGGGTGTGGTTTCCTTTTTTTGCCCATTTTAATCGTGCAGCAGTGCTTAGCCACGTACCCGAGCCCCGGCAGACCAAATTCTTCGAAAAACAAATGCCGGGAGCCCCCCTATTTTTTATTCAACGGGATTTTAACGGGGGTAGTGCAATCAGACTCGACTTATTCACTCTTTTCATGCACGTGAACAGCAACACACAACTGGCGACATGCACGCACACAGTACACAAAGATATGTCTTCCAGGTAGGTTCGCTTCCACTGGCTATGGCGACTAAGCGCCCAGACAACTCACTGTTCACACTTTGGATCACCCTGGATGTCCCACACTTAACACTCTGTAACCACACGCAACACACACACACACACACACTACTATAGCTATGGCAGCGCTAGCTGCCATTACCCTATCGCTACACTACACTTCTCTGCCCACTTCGTCTTCGGGCACACTGCAGACCTCCTCGCACAAGCTGCTGAGGCAGCACTTCCGCATGGCATCCGCAGGAATGAATGAATGGCTGGACGCAGCCTCTTGATTTATACTTCTGCGCTGCGCTGGTCTGCCCTGTGTCCCTTGGCCCTTGGTGCACACAGTCCCAGACGGTACTTGCTGGACAGGACCGGACTGCCTAACTGGGACTGTTGACTCAGCAGGGTGGCCTACCACCACTTGACCACTTGCCTCTGTTCAACGTTGGCTCAGTCCGAAAGGCCACTTCTAGAAACCTCCGACTTGGCCTTTCGGTGTTGTAGCAGCTACGACTTTGCCCCTTCAGGTAAGTAGCAGCTACGACCTTGACCTTTCAGACAACCTACAACTTCGACTTCGGAACTGTCTAGACTCCTACCCTACAAGTCTACAGTTCGATTTCCTTCTAAGCTCCGACCTACGACAATCTACCTACCACTGGCGTTTCGACAGGTTGCAGGTTCAAGTCTACGGGTTGACATCAATACTGTACACAGGTACGGTGGGGAACTAGGGATCGAGCCCTGGGAACTGCATTCGCTACTGCGAACTGGTGAATACCGTTTCAGTAGGCACCATAGGGGGAATTAAACGGCTTTTGACGGCAGTTTAACCCCACCCCCGCGTTAACAGGACACTCAGCGTTTCACAGGGGAGTTCTTCATGCGTGACTGAGGGCATACGGGCACAAGGAGTTTCCTTTATGTATCAGGCCACAATGAATCTAACCACAATAACGTCCACAGCTCAGTCTAAGAAGTCCTAAATCAAATGTGCAAATGTGCCGTGATTCCACCCATAAGCTTGTTCTTGTAGGTAGAAAACTAGACTCAAGGTCACACAAGGTCGTTTTCTTGCAACGGATGTCTGCCTGTATTTGCAGTCAGATTCATTCCGTTGTGGATGTTGTTTGGTTCTCGATACAGAAATGCAAGTGGTGGAGTGGGTGTGCCTTCAGGGGCTTCAGCCTATCAGTTTGCTTGGCTATGTGCTTGCTGCATTCCTCTTTTGTATACAACATACTCCTGACAGACTCTGCTCGAACTGGTTGTTACTGCAGTAACTCCTTCACTGCAGAAACTCCTTGAGGACATCATGTTAAAATGGGAATGATACAGAGAAGATTCGCATGGCCCCTACTCAAGGATGACGCCTAGGTGTGTCTCCCTCTCAAAAAAAAAACAAAAGTGTAATTGGGTACAAGGCGTTGTACTTGTGCAGAAAACTCCCATTGTACTCGTTTGTACTCTACCTCGAATGAATTGTCTTTGGGCCTGTGGCTTCGGGATTTACGGGGCTAAAAAAGCAAAAACATCAGGCAGGATTTACGGGGGTAAAAAAGAAAGAATGTCGGGCTGGAGCCGCAGGAGCCCCTGAAGTATAGTAACCAAGGAAAGAAAAAGAAAGTTTCTTGGTGTGTTCTCTTTTTAACGAGTAGTACTTTTTCTGGCACGTTGAGAGAGAGAGAGAGAGAGAGAGAGAGAGAGAGAGAGAGAGAGAGAGAGAGAGAGAGAGAGAGAGAGAGAGAGAGGATGCGCACCCTTCGCGAGCAAGAGGCACCTCCCAAAACATAAAAGAGAAAAAAAAAAATCATTTTTCGGGACCCAAAAGGGCTTTGTACGCTCATAGAATGCCAGGTGCCCTGTTGTACGCTACGCTCACACACTTAGCTTACATAGCATACAATGAGACACCTAGGATGTCACACCTAAACCGAAAAATGATTTAAAAGAAAAAAGAAAAAAAAAAAAGTGGCTGTGGCTGCAGCTCGGTTGACAAGTTCAGACTCTGAGTTGGATAGCCCACGCCACACTGCATTTGCCTCCTTACCTTGGACTGTTTTTATATAGACTTGAGCTGAAGTCCACTGTCCACATGTTTTCCATTGGGGTTATGGGATATTTGCAGGTGCATTGAAGGTTGGCCTCATTTATCCGCAACGCAGCAATGGAGACATTGGAGAGTGTTGCCCGGGGTAGCTTTGTGGTCTGGGTTCTTCTCGCCGGCCTGCTAATTTGGCCGGCGGGTGCTAGCAGGGACCCAGATAAGCCATGTGGGGGCACGGTATGCCCCACTGGCACGAGATGCTGTGGAGGCATTTGCAAGGAATGCTGCAACAACGGGGACTGCGAGCCGGGGAAGGTCTGCTGCGACGGACAGTGCCAAGCTGGAGAATGCTGTCCCGGAAGCTCGAACTGCTGCAACGGCATAAAATGCATGGCTGGCACCAAATGCTGTGATGAACTGTGCAAGGCTTGCTGCAGTAACACAGACTGCAAAACTGGGGAGGTGTGCTGCGAAGGGCAATGCGAAAGTCGCCAATGCTGCTCAGGAGACCCATATTGCTGCAACGGGCAGCCATGTCCGGCCGGCACTCGATGCTGCGATGCAGTGTGCAAGACTTGCTGCGATGACGTGCACTGTGGCTCTGGCATGGTCTGCTGCGATGGACAATGCAAAAGCGGTGAATGCTGCCCTGGGAGCCCGAATTGCTGCGATGGAAAGACATGCGTTGCGGGCACGCAATGCTGCAATGGAGTGTGCAAGGCTTGCTG